CTTCTCTTCTCTTCTCTTTATTGGGTAGAATTGATCACGTGTTGAGACAGGAATCCCATGACAGCGTTAATTCATCTCGATGGTTTGCACGAAAACCGACTGTATAAAATACGAGAACTATACTATTTAAACCAATACCCATTGTTTGAAACTTCTTGCGACAGAGGAAAAATACCCAGAACGAACCAATGCGTACGATATAAATTCTCCGGGCTAAAATTCAAGAAAGAAATTTGCTCAAGGCGGGTGAGATCGTGGAAGATGGATGACTGGTCGAGTGACTCGAGTAAGTARCTTCAAACTTCACGTTATTAATTTGCACTAAAACATTACAAAAATTAGTTCAAACGACAAACGTCTTCCTCTCCTTCACTTAACTTTGTTTCTACACCTTAAATTTAATGTCAAATTTAAAGAAAAACTACGTATAATAATCTTACCTTTTGACGAAGGACTTGTTGCATATGGACTACGAGCTGTGCTTCGTGATTTAGAAAAATAAAATGTTGAATGAAACTTGCTTGTATTATAATGAGTACTTTAAGTTCGCACATCACTGTCACTGCCTTTGAAGTATAAATTTAAAAAAAGTTTTATTGTATTTTTAAGACTTTCTCTCAACTTCATGATACATTCATGAACATACAACCACAGGAATCCCAGTTGTAAAAACGCTTTAATATTGTTGTCAGTATATAATTATTATTGTTATCCTTGTTAATGTTGTTTTTATAAAGAGCTAACCGTGATAGGATCATGTTTGGATCATGTTTGGCGAAGTCTTGCAAAATTATATTTAGTGCTCACAACCACAGGGAACCCAGTTGAACAAAAAATAAATTGTAGGTAGTCCATTGCTGTTTAGCTAGCCTTTATTAAACTTTTCATTGTGCAAAATGATTATAATTAAGAATATTAAGAAATACAACCTAATGTTCTTGAGTAAAACAGTGCAGGATACATTTTTTCCATCGTTTGAATTATTCTGATAAAACATTTCATTGTTGTCAAGGGTGATATGATATTATTATTTAGTCCAGTTTAAATGTAAAATCATTTTCAAACAGCATGCATTAATTTGATTGTACCAAGAATTTTGCAAAATTCCATTTTTTTTTTTTTACCTTGTTTCGTTCTAATAGAAATGTATGAGAGCATGGTGAGAATGAGATATTAAAAGGRATAGGTAAAGATTTTTGTCTTATATTAGTAAAGTGATCTGTTAGCATGTTGGTAACATAAATGCGTTTCTAGTGGTTCTTTTTGCAAACGTAAGTAGCATTTGCTTGGCATATCTCGGTTTTCCAGGCACTCTCATCTCCATTTATCTTAATAAACAATCCACAGTCTTTCTTCTCAGAGTTGCCAAGCTCTTCATTTGGCTTGTAGGTCAGCGGTAATCCATCGGACCAYTGAATGATTCCTTCGGTTGCCTTATCATTTAATCCAACCCAGGCTCCTTGAAGAATGGATGGTTGGGTGTCTGTAATGTTAGATATGGCTGAAACGGAAGTTTAGAGTTTGTAATTAAAAAATAAGAGCTAATAGAGGTACATCCCTATATATGGCTGAAACTGAAGTTTAGATTTTGTATTTAAAAAATAAGAGCTAATAGAGGTATCCCTATATATGGCTGGAACTGAAGATTATAGTTTCACTTTAAAAAAAGCTGAAAAAAAAAGAAACTAAAAATAGCAAAAAAATGCTTGTGTGTTATGTCACAAAGTTCACTATCATTGCCCTTTACTAAAAACTTTAAAACAATCAAACATTTTAGGGCATTTTAAAGGGGTTCCTTCCGTTATAAGCTGAATTTCATTTCCTTCTGTTTAAACATATTTTTTGAAGATCACAATATGACTAAAAGTTTGCCCCCACCCCATGCCCCACCCTTGCTACACTAGTGGTTTGATCTTTTACAGTGATGATGTTTTCAAAAAGAGTACTCTTTCCATGGCTGAGAAATCATCTAAGAAATGCCTTTTATAGCTAGCCTCCCTTAAAAATATATATTTCTTCAAAATCACATCTCGGTTTAGCTCATAAACTGCTGTCAGAATCATATATCATTGGTTTTGCATTTAAATATGACATACCTCCATTGAAGAGGTCTTTTATTTCTTGTGATGTCAAAATCCGAGGGACTACAACCATGTTGCTCATCCAACCATCTAATCCCTTACCTATTTGGTAGAAAGGATCCATTGCTCGAAATGATTTTGGAGATGGTGATGTTGAAGCAGTAGATGAGGAACGTTGACCGTTGATATGGGGTACAACTACTCCAGTTTTATAATTCCATGTGAATGCAATGTGGGTCCATTTTTGATTTGGTATTCTGTAAAGGATACAACAAATGCCATAAATAAGAATCATGTAAACGACGATGGAAAATGTCTGACCTATGGTCTATTCGATGAATAAATATTCTTTTAAATAAATTAAATTTAAATCACTCAAAATCCATCAGAATGAATGTACCAGAAAATGAAAATGGTACGCTAGGGCAGATCCAGAAGAGATTTTAATTGAGCTGATCCTCGCAGTATATAAAGCCCGGGGGGGGGGG